ATATGTGGAGATGATTATATTATAATTGGATTAGAAGAATGTGAAGATGGAAATGATATACCTTATGATGGTTGTTTTAATTGTTAATTTTAGTGTGAAAAAGAATGCTAAATTTGTCAATTAGGATTATGTATTGAATGCATAGAAGGATATATAATTCTGAAGGATTATTGTGAAGTTTATAATTAAACTTAAATTATGGATGATGAAGAAGATGCATAAATATAAAATAAATGTGGAAATGGTATTTATTCTAATGATGAAGAATGTGATGATGGTAATTTATTTCAGAATGATGGCTGTTCAATTTTATGTGAAATTGAATTTAATTGGTTTTGTAATAACTAACTAAATAAATCTAGTATTTGTACTCCTTATACTATTATTTAATTGTAATATCTTAATATAACTTAATCGATTTAATATGTTTAATTATCATTTTCTAATAAAGTTAAATTAAACGAAACTATTTCAAATTTTACTAATTTTATTAAACCCTCTATCCCATCTATTTAATAAGACATATATGAAATTACAATAATTCCTGTATAATTCATTTTATTATAGTTGAAATTGATTAGAAAATTTTACTTGATGTTATCTATGTTTTATAAATTTAAATTTTAGAATCTATTTCAACATAAATTTCTTTAAATGTAGAAATTAATGCTAATTTAGAAGATCTAAATTAAATGAAGGTTAATACTACCATCTAAACTATCAATTTATAAATTCCCAAAGTTTTGAACAAAAATTAATTGCAAACTGCTAATTAGTTTTAATCTTTAGGTAGTTGGATGATGATAGGATTAGCTAGTAGTAGTTTTTTCCTGTTCTTTTTTGGGAATCCAAGTTAATGTATGGAAATTTTAGATACTTTATAATTTTAATCATATTTAAAATATATAAATGTGAAATTTCCATAAAATATTTAAATATATTTTGAATCATCAGAATTTGTAACTATTAATCCTGTGTTGATTAAATTAAAAGTAAATGTAGTATTTTAATAATTAATTGGATATCAATATTTAGAAAGTGTAGGGAAACTGTTTGAATATAAATTAAATGCAGATTTATTAGTTAATTTATAAGGGTAATTTACTTAAATAGGGTTCTTGATTGGATTGTATATATTTATTAAATACTATAAAAATTTGATCTATAAATAATGCTTTGGAAATAAATATATCTACTATTTTAGACTCCTTAATAATAAAATCATTGAAAGTATTGGAATTAAATTATATTACCTCAATAAAAGAATATGTAAAATAGATGAAACATTTAATTATTAAGGCTTTATTCATTTATTTCATGCTAATAGTTGGGATTTAATATTTAAAATATTGATTTTTTTAGCTTCTAATGAAATGTTAGGAATAAGAGAAATAGTTTCTATTATTATATCATTCGGATATCTGATATCCATAATCATAATTGTAAGCTAAAATTGCAAAGGATACACTCGTAAGATTATATTAAAGGATTTAAGAACTCAATAACATGATGAAATTATATTACTTAAAAAACTCTTATTTTTATTAGTTCTTATTATCATGTAAAGTTACCCTCTCATACAATGTATACTATTAACATGTATATTATTTTTGTATCTTGGATCATTAATTAGTCTGGATTTTGAATTAAATAAATTTGATTTAATCATAATTATTTGGATGGAAGCACCTGTAATGCTCTTTACATTATCTTGCATGATATATAGCTCTGATTTTCAAAAGTATTTTTCAACTGAGTAATAAATATTTGCTGGATTTTTATAAATTATTTTATTGTTATTAGCTTTAATATCTCCTTTAGTTAGATGTGGATATTAGTTTTGTATTAAAGTTAGAGCATTCTACTTGAAAAATAAAAAGATGAAGGACCCAATTGTTTTGGATGTTAAAAATATTTTATTTTTAGTTGATAATAATAAGTGATTATAATAATTATATTTACTTAAATTATTATCATATAATTAGTAATTATCTCTCTTTATATAAAGTTATAAATATTGATGAAAAATACTACTACTAGTATTTTCATTAAAATTAAATGATGATATATATTTATAACATATCTTTGAATGATATTTGTATAAATATATAAAATTTATTGATTAATTAAATTACTATATATTTAATGGCGCTATTAATTTTTCTAGTTTATCTTTAAATAGTCATAGTATTTACAAAGATCTAAAAATTATATTTAGCAGAAAATGAATAATTTTAATAATCTAGGTAAGCACTTATAATTGCAACGAATGACATAGAAATTCTGAAGAATGAGTTTTCTAATATTGATGTATTATTAAGAAATACAAAAACTCTATTAAAATATTTATCAAGTAAATATAATAATTATATAATGGAATCATATTTTATTAATGTTTTTATCTCATTATATAATTATAAATCTGCACTTGATATATTTTTTTCAGAATTTAGTTATATCAATTGGAAATATAGAATTATGAATTAACTTGTTGATGAAGATCTCCTAATTTTTTAATCTTATCAATATTCTCTTTAGATTGAAAATAAATTATGTTAATAATTCTATAATATTTAAATTAATAAATTTATTGCATTATGTAAAATTTAACAAGGATTAATGATTGCATTATTAAATAAAATAAAGTAAAATAATTGATTTATTAAATTTCATTAAAATCACATCATTATACTTAAAGAGTTTCTAAATAAATTTAATATTTGATTTTTAAAGGCAACAACCTAAGCATTTATGAAACATTAGATACATTATAAGCTATATTTGTAGTTGGTTGGACTAATTATTAGAGTTACCTTTTTATGTATCAAATAACATATTATGTTCGAATTTAAATCATTGTTATATATAGTAATAATTAATTTAATGATGATGTTTAAAAAACAGAAGTAAGTTAAGTTGATATTTAGAGAATTTGTCATTTATATTGTTATATTCAAAATAAGGTTAATTATCCTTTTATAACTAAATAGTTTTCCATTTTATTTGTAATATTAAAAATCTATTTATTTATTAGTTATTTTTGTATTGATATGATTATTCATGAATAGGTAACTATATATAGAATTAACTAATTACTCAAAAATGTTACTATTCTTTTATCATTATAAAAGTAAAATAATTGGATATCCAAGTTAAATAACTCAATTTGATGATAAGAATGGTGTTGTATCTCAAATTTACAATTCAGATTTGATTATCTCGAATATAACAAGAAATACCATTTTATTAACAAAGAAATATGTTGAATCTTGGATTAGAATAATCTTTCATGTAAATCAGACATTTACAATTTTAGATGAAATTAATAAAATTTATTTAAAGTATTAATATAGATTTAATTTTAATGAATCCTAATTTTTTATTAGTTCATAAGATTATGCATTTATTGTATAAGATAAATAAACTCTATACTTTTATTCATATGTTAAAACTGAACTCAAAGCATTTAAGATTAATTTTGAAAAGAAAATTAATTATTTAGTGTAACAAGGAAATTAATTATTCATTTATTTTTAAAATTGTATGATTATGATTGTTGAATTCTAAAATTTTTAAATTAATGAAGTAAATCACTCACATTAAGTAAATTGTACAATCTAATTAAATGATGATAGTGATAAATTAAATATTAAAATTCAACCTTCATAAATTGATATTTTAAGAAAGAATACTTATACTTATAGTTTGAGATTTCATTAAATTATTAGATTACAATATTTCATAAATTATAAAAAACTTATCATCTTTGAATTAAATGAAAATCTCCTTCAAATGAAATATTATTAAGAAAAGAATAATTACTATTAATTTTTATATTTAATACCAACCTATTAATATATTATAGATTAACCATTAATATATAAAACATTTGTTTAAATGATTGCAATATTAGCTCATAATGAATAAAAAGATTAATATATTTTAATATATGATTTACATAACAAAGCCTTAAATTCAATGGTTTCAGCTATATAAGTTGATGAAAAATGTCAAATTTTTAATTTTCATTCTACTTCATAATTTTTTTATGTTTATAATAATGAACTAAGAATCTAATTTTTAGATTCCATAAAAATACTATTTAAAAATGATATATTTAAATCAAATATGAATTCTTATTTTTATATCACTGATATTATGCTCAAATTTGATCCCAAGTATATAATTAATAATAATTCGATTATCTTAAATTTAACATTCATCAATTGTAATTAAAGTTTATAACTATTAACAAATAATTAATTAAGCTATTTCATATAGAATTAAAAAAAAATAATTCCATTAAATGAAGTATTTGGAAGAATAAATTCTATTACTTAATATAATGGAGATAAATTAACTAATTTGTCTTCTTTAACCCTTATGCATTAATAAGAATGTTCATTTTTTAAATAGAAAACTTGTCTTCTAGAAAATGATAAAATAATTATAGATTCTTTTGATTTACGATTAACTTTATAGTTAAACCAAACTCCAATCATTAATGATTTGGCACTATTTATATCTAAATACAATATATTTATATATACAATTGATGATTTAAAGATTTTGAAAATGCATAATTATAATTTAGAAGGGCAATTAATTTAATAAAATAGAATCAAAATATAATTAAAATAGGATTATATTTTTCTAAATTCAATTTAAGTAATTGAAAATTTCATATTATTTGATAATACAAAAGATAGATCAACTAAAATGTTATTTTTAATTTAGAATTATTAAATATAATAGTTTCTAATAAATGGATAAAATGAATTTCAATTTATATTTATTCATAAAACTCCAAATTTTTACTTTATAACATACTAATCTTATACTTTGATTTAGAACTCTGAGACCTTAATTTTATTATTCTTATCATTATAGTTTGATATCATTACATAAACAAATATATCACTTAATAACATTATTCCTAGAGATTCAACAAACGAATTATTAAAATTTTCAGTTTCTGAATTTGTTTATGATTATGATAATTACAAATTTGAATTATTAATTTGTTCTGTCACATTGAACTGTTATTATTTGTAATTATAATTTGATTTTAAATTTAATTACTTAGATTCAAAGATTTTAAAAATTTTAAGATATGAAATAAGCAAATCTTTAAAAAAAATTGAATTTGTGAGTTCAAAATATGTCATTTTGGGTTTTTACAATGATGGAAATATTAAATGTATTTATAATATTAATTAATCGAATAAATTTATTTTAGATAGTCATTAATAAATAGAATTAGCTGATTATAAAATTGAAAAATATAATGATACTTATTTTACTACCATTAAATGCAACCCTAATTGTGATGTTAAATTATTCTAATTACACAATTATTATATATCTTGTTAGGATGCTTGTGATGATTAATAAATAAATTTATTACTTTAGAATTAAGTAAATCAATTAAACTTAACTTTTGTAAACTTTATATCAAAAGAAAATAAATTAGAGTCCATATAAATTAAATCATAATAGTTGANTATTTATCGATATAGATTTTTATTTTATAAATTATTATGGAAATATGTTTAAACAACCTCTTCACTTTATATTACATCTATTGTTTTGGAGAAAGCATAAATATTATTCTTATCTTCAAATTGATATGGATGCGTAGTCTAACCAAGGAAAGTTTAAAATGAAACATCTATTCACTTATAAAACATATACTTTAACCCCATAAATCTATTTCAATTTTTTAAATAACAGCTCAAGACTTGCAAGGTTATTATTGACTTATTTTTATTATTGGTTCTTCCCAAGCTATAGAAATCAAATAATTTTATAATTCCTTTACAGGTCTGGAATGACAACATAATGATTATAATAGCCTCAGCTAAATCCCTTCTAAAGACCAGATTTTAATGATTTAATCTCCAATTGATATGAATTAATTAAAATTTTTTAATACAACAATCCAAATTACTAATCTGTGAGCTTTTACTAATTTTTGTACTTTCAATTTTTCTATTGAAATTTAAGTATATGTATTAATGCACTAATACCTCCAATCACGATTAGTGAAAATGATTTTTCAATATCCAAGGTATAGCATTTTTCAATTATCGTATATTATAAGATTAGTTAGAAATTAATTGTTGATTATGTATCTATAATTTTCAAAGAATTGCATCCATTTGACATAATAAATTACTTTAGATCTTCTTACTGTGTTTCTCCATTTAAACATATCTACTCTGGTTTAAATTCGGAAGATTAAATTAATTCATGGTTTATCCAATTTTTTATAAAATTTTTAATTTATTTACAAATACATCAATTTATAGAATAGTATTTAATTATGGAATATAATTATTAAAAAGTTAACATTCATATTAAATGTATATATTTTACTTTATTCTTTATACATTATTTCTAAATTAATTATTTGCATTCAAAAAGTTCTAATCAATACTTGATAATTTCTAAATTACATTACTTTTTGTACAAGGATATCTCTTAATGATCAAAAAAATCAATTCAAAACAAGTCCTCTATTCTATTTTTATTAATTATTTTATCATTATAAAAGTGAAATAATTGGATATCCAAGCTAAATATAGTTTATTGTATTTTTAATATATTGATAAATCACTTTGATGATAAGAAATGTGTTGTATCTCAAATTTAAAATTCAGATTTGATTATCTCGAATATAATAAGAAATCCTATTATTTTAACAAAGAAATATATTGAATCTTAGATTAAAATAATCTTTCATGTAAATAAGACATTTAAAATTTTTTTGATGAAATCAATCAAATTTATTTAAAGTATTAATTTAAATTATAATTTTAATGAATCCTAATTTTTTATCAGTTCATAAGATAGTGCATTTGTTATATAAGATAAATAAACTCTATACTTTTATTCATATGTTAACACATTCTCCATTCTTATTTATCGATATAGATTTTTATTTTATAAATTATTATGGAAATATGTTTAAACAACCTCTTCACTTTATATTACATCTATTGTTTTGGAGAAAGCATAAATATTATTCTTATCTTCAAATTGATATGGATGCGTAGTCTAACCAAGGAAAGTTTAAAATGAAACATCTATTCACTTATAAAACATATACTTTAACCCCATAAATCTATTTCAATTTTTTAAATAACAGCTCAAGACTTGCAAGGTTATTATTGACTTATTTTTATTATTGGTTCTTCCCAAGCTATAGAAATCAAATAATTTTATAATTCCTTTACAGGTCTGGAATGACAACATAATGATTATAATAGCCTCAGCTAAATCCCTTCTAAAGACCAGATTTTAATGATTTAATCTCCAATTGATATGAATTAATTTTAATAATAAAAATATATATTTATATAAATAAAACAAATAGTGGTGGAGGATCATACAATGAGGAAATTTTAAAGAATGGCAAATGGATTGAGTTGAGGGATGGATTTTGTAGTTTATCATAAATAGTTTATAATGGAGATTATAAACATGGTAAAAAGGTTGTTAGATGGTAAACTTTGTATAGGGATTATAGAAAAGATAAATTTGAATTAATGTAAATTGTAATTACTAGAGTATTAGTGGTGGTGGATTATATGATGAAAGGGTTGAAGATTCAATAAAGATTGGCAGGTGGATAGAGTTGAGTGATGGGTATAATTTTTGGTCTGAAGTCACTTATAATGGTGATTATTAGAATGCAAAAAAAGTTGGTAGATGGGATACTTTCTTCAAATTCGGTGATAAAGGATTTACATAGATGTTGATATTATTATAATTAACAGTAAATTTGCAGTGGCAGTGGATTATACGATAATTAAGTAGAAGGAAGTTCGATAAAGATTGGTAAGTGGATTGAGCTGAGTTGTGCATTTAAATTTGATTCAAAAGTCATCTATAAAGGTGAGTATAAAAATGGGAATAAAATTGGTAGATGGGATATTTGGTATAAGGATTATGAGACAAAAATGTATGAATAAATGTATGGAGTAAAAAATTAATTTATAGCGGAGGCGGATCATATGATGATGATGAAGATTCAAGTAAGATTGGAGAATGGATTGAATTAAGTGATGAATCCAATTGGTATTGGTAAATTACTTTTAGAGGAGAATATAAAAATATTAAAAAAGTTGGTAGATGGGATACTTGTTTTAAAGATTATGAAACAAAAAAGGATGAAAAGATGTATGTAGTATAAAATTAATTTCTAGTGGAGGTGGATCATATAATGATGAAGGAATACAGAAAGGGTAATGGATTGAATTGAGCGATAGGTCAAATGCAAAATTTTTGATCACCTTAAATGGTGAATATATTGATGGTAAAAAGGCTGGAAGATGGGATTTTTATTGGAAAAAGAATAGTGAAGATAAATAAAATGAACAGATGTATCAATAATAATTTTAAGTATAAGTGGTGGTGGAATATATTATGAAAAAATGGAAGGATACTCAATTAAGATTGGCATATGGATTGAATTGAGTGATGAATCTAATTATAATTGTTAACTCACATCTAATGGCAAATATGAAAATGGGAAAAAAGTTGGAATATGGAGGGAGATGTATAGAAAATGGAATGATAAGGAATTTAAAAAACTCAAGGAGATAAATTTTGATAAATGATTTATAATTACTATTGAATTTATGTAAAAAAATTCATCATAGGAAACTGTTTTAGTATTATTTAGTATTTGTTTTAACTATTTTTTATTTATATGTAAAGAATTTGATTATAATTTCAACTTGAAAAGAAATAATTATATTAATATTTTAAATTAGAGCATTGACCAAAGCTTATCTTTTATTAAATTGGCTAAGTAAATTTTTACTACAAATTTTAGTAAATCTGTAAAATTATAGCTTAGAATCACATATTTTAACATTTGCTGTTGTATCATGCACTTTACCTTACAAATTTTTCTTATAATCAATTATGATATTAATATTCTAAAATAAAGTAATTATTAGCGTAATCTTTTAGTCATAAAACTAAAAAATGGGATACTTTTTGTATTTATTTTTTAATATTTTTTTGATGTAACACAAAATTAGATTAATATATTATAAAATGATTCCCTTAGATTCGTAATTATCGAAAATAGGAACCAAAGATTTAGAAGTTAAAAAATGGGATTAATTCAATGTTAAATTAGTTTAGACAACTGTTCTAATCATATTTATTGAAGATAATTATATCAAATATGTATGAGATGGAGTCATTTTGAGAATGAAATTAAGAACTTTTGGAGGTAAGCAATTTATTAATAAAAATAAGTCTAGCTTAAGTTTATGAGAGTGAGGAATACTTTAACGATTATAAAAAGGGAACATGGAAATACATTTATAAGAATAACATCATGTATTATTAAATTTAATTGTAAGTGGTGGTGGATCATACAACGATTCAGGTTAAAGAAATGGTAAGTGGATTGAGTTGAGCGAAGGATTTTACAAATATTCATAAATAACTTATAAGGGTGAATATAAGAACGGGAAAAAAGTTGGAAATTGGGATATTTTTTGGCAAATGGATTTTGGAGATAAGCTCTATCAAAAAATGTAAATATTAAACAAATTAATTTTAGAGGAGGTGGCTCATATGATGATTAGGTGGATGGAGATTCAATTTAGATAGGAATATGAGTTGTGCGATGATTTTCACTCTTATGTGTTTGGCTCAAAATAAGTAACCTATAATGGTGAATATAAAATTGGAATATGGATGGAAATAGATAGAAATATTTAAGTAAAAGAAATTTAATATGATAATTGATAATGATAATAAAAACCTTAATTTAAGCTTAAGTTTACAAAATATAATCTAATATATCATCTCCTGATATTCATTTTGCTTGTAAGGATCAATTAATTTCTAATTTGTCCTTAGATTTAATTTTAAGATAATTCCAAATCATGATTCAAATCCTATCGAAAAAGTTCTTAATGTCTTTTCTCTTAATTTTATGCTTAATCACTCATATTAATCACAATAGTAGGTTTTTAGATAAAATGGGATAACTCAAGAAATATTTTGCCTTAAAATTGTTTGAAGATCCACTGGAATTGAACCTGAAATAGTGATTTATCTCAAATAAAGGCTCCTTTATTCTTAAGATATTAGTTATATACATTAATATTTAATTGATTGATAGTCCTGCTTCTGTCTTTTATTTTAAACCTATTAATGGATAACGAAAGATTTATTGTATATATTTCACATCACATCAGTCAATTTATTATATAGTTGGTGAGCATAATTCTAAAGAGTTATACCTTCTCTGAAATCTAAAGTGAATTTTTGTTTTCTAATAAAATAAAATTAATTTAGAAACCTTTTCAAAAATGCAGGGAATCGAAAATAATTTTCTCCCAAAAAGTTTAATCTATGAAGATATCAATAAGACACCTATTAAATAAGAAAATTGGTGTTTTTCAATAGCAATTAACAACGAAAATTCTTTAATACTAGTTGGTTGCGGTAATTGGATAAAAGTTTATTAGGTGAAATAAGAAAAAGTAAGACTTATTCATTACTATTTAACTCCAAATAGAGTTATTATTGTTATCTTTTTCAAATTTAATTTCTTATTCGCATCTAGTTCTGAAGATAACTCCATCATTATATGGTCACCATATTTTAATCAAAAATCAAAATTTCTAATGAAACTAAGAGGGCATTCTAAAAATATTTAATGTTTGGTTCTACATCCAATTGATGATTAGATGTTAATTACTGGTTCATATGATTCAAAAATAAAATTCTGGTCATGTTATAATAAATCCAATATATTAAGTGGAAATTGTTTATAAACAATAACTGAGCATAGCAGTCATGTTTATGGATTATCAATAAATTAAAATGGAAATAAATTGATTTCCTGTGGTCTAGATAATTTAATTTTGGTGATGGAACGCATAAATTAAGATTCTCATTGGTCAGTTAAATAAAAAATAAAAGTAATACGATATGGATTTCGAATTGCTTTTGTCAGTGATTTAGTATTAGTCTTTCTTCCTCAATCTTCATCACATTTGAAAATATATACATTAAATCCTATTGATAATGAATATAGTAACTCTGAAGATGTAGTAATTGATGGTGGGAATTCATTCTGTAATCATTACTTCCCGATATAATATTGTTAATAAAAAAAGTTAATGTTAATAAAAAATGGAAATTGTTTGAATTTTGTGAGAGTAATTTTGCCTTTTAAAGATAATAATAATACTTAAAAAGTAGAGATAATTTCAATTAGCAGATATATTTTTAAAATGAGAAAAGCCTAGATTTTCGTTATTATTAAATTTATGGTACATTAAGTAATGATGGAAATTATCTAATATTTTGGCTAAAATCAACGAATGAAATTTAAATATTAAAGCATATTAAGAATTTTGAGTGATATTTTAATTATTAAAAAAATAGTTTATGTTTATAATATTAAAATAATTTTAATAAATAAATTTTGAATTTTCCAATTATCATAGATTCTCAAATGATATCACGGATAATTTAATTTCTTTACATTAATAACCAAAATAAAACTATTAAGAATTTTTAATCCCAATTGGTTTAATGAGTAAAAAATTATAATATTAGTCAATTAATTGCACTATTATTAAGAATACTTCAAGTTTTGATAAAACTTAATTTTTTTTATTTCATAGAATAAGAATTTTTATATGATTCCAAATATTAATCATTCATAATTTAAGTTGATGAATTATTAATTTGAATATTGTTATTGCATAAATATATTCTATAAGTTTCAATCAAATATCTTGATTTTGATTAAATAAATATAATAAAAGTAGAAATTAAATAAAATAATTTAAGATGANCAATTAATTTCTAATTTGTCCTTAGATTTAATTTTAAGATAATTCCAAATCATGATTCAAATCCTATCGAAAAAGTTCTTAATGTCTTTTCTCTTAATTTTATGCTTAATCACTCATATTAATCACAATAGTAGGTTTTTAGATAAAATGGGATAACTCAAGAAATATTTTGCCTTAAAATTGTTTGAAGATCCACTGGAATTGAACCTGAAATAGTGATTTATCTCAAATAAAGGCTCCTTTATTCTTAAGATATTAGTTATATACATTAATATTTAATTGATTGATAGTCCTGCTTCTGTCTTTTATTTTAAACCTATTAATGGATAACGAAAGATTTATTGTATATATTTCACATCACATCAGTCAATTTATTATATAGTTGGTGAGCATAATTCTAAAGAGTTATACCTTCTCTGAAATCTAAAGTGAATTTTTGTTTTCTAATAAAATAAAATTAATTTAGAAACCTTTTCAAAAATGCAGGGAATCGAAAATAATTTTCTCCCAAAAAGTTTAATCTATGAAGATATCAATAAGACACCTATTAAATAAGAAAATTGGTGTTTTTCAATAGCAATTAACAACGAAAATTCTTTAATACTAGTTGGTTGCGGTAATTGGATAAAAGTTTATTAGGTGAAATAAGAAAAAGTAAGACTTATTCATTACTATTTAACTCCAAATAGAGTTATTATTGTTATCTTTTTCAAATTTAATTTCTTATTCGCATCTAGTTCTGAAGATAACTCCATCATTATATGGTCACCATATTTTAATCAAAAATCAAAATTTCTAATGAAACTAAGAGGGCATTCTAAAAATATTTAATGTTTGGTTCTACATCCAATTGATGATTAGATGTTAATTACTGGTTCATATGATTCAAAAATAAAATTCTGGTCATGTTATAATAAATCCAATATATTAAGTGGAAATTGTTTATAAACAATAACTGAGCATAGCAGTCATGTTTATGGATTATCAATAAATTAAAATGGAAATAAATTGATTTCCTGTGGTCTAGATAATTTAATTTTGGTGATGGAACGCATAAATTAAGATTCTCATTGGTCAGTTAAATAAAAAATAAAAGTAATACGATATGGATTTCGAATTGCTTTTGTCAGTGATTTAGTATTAGTCTTTCTTCCTCAATCTTCATCACATTTGAAAATATATACATTAAATCCTATTGATAATGAATATAGTAACTCTGAAGATGTAGTAATTGATGGTGGGAATTCATTCTGTAATCATTACTTCCCGATATAATATTGTTAATAAAAAAAGTTAATGTTAATAAAAAATGGAAATTGTTTGAATTTTGTGAGAGTAATTTTGCCTTTTAAAGATAATAATAATACTTAAAAAGTAGAGATAATTTCAATTAGCAGATATATTTTTAAAATGAGAAAAGCCTAGATTTTCGTTATTATTAAATTTATGGTACATTAAGTAATGATGGAAATTATCTAATATTTTGGCTAAAATCAACGCATGAAATTTAAATATTAAAGCATATTAAGAATTTTGAGTGATATTTTACTTATTAAAAAAAAATAGTTTATGTTTATAATATTAAAATAATTTTAATAAATAAATTTTGAATTTTCCAATTATCATAGATTCTCAAATGNTCTCCCAAAAAGTTTAATCTATGAAGATATCAATAAGACACCTATTAAATAAGAAAATTGGTGTTTTTCAATAGCAATTAACAACGAAAATTCTTTAATACTAGTTGGTTGCGGTAATTGGATAAAAGTTTATTAGGTGAAATAAGAAAAAGTAAGACTTATTCATTACTATTTAACTCCAAATAGAGTTATTATTGTTATCTTTTTCAAATTTAATTTCTTATTCGCATCTAGTTCTGAAGATAACTCCATCATTATATGGTCACCATATTTTAATCAAAAATCAAAATTTCTAATGAAACTAAGAGGGCATTCTAAAAATATTTAATGTTTGGTTCTACATCCAATTGATGATTAGATGTTAATTACTGGTTCATATGATTCAAAAATAAAATTCTGGTCATGTTATAATAAATCCAATATATTAAGTGGAAATTGTTTATAAACAATAACTGAGCATAGCAGTCATGTTTATGGATTATCAATAAATTAAAATGGAAATAAATTGATTTCCTGTGGTCTAGATAATTTAATTTTGGTGATGGAACGCATAAATTAAGATTCTCATTGGTCAGTTAAATAAAAAATAAAAGTAATACGATATGGATTTCGAATTGCTTTTGTCAGTGATTTAGTATTAGTCTTTCTTCCTCAATCTTCATCACATTTGAAAATATATACATTAAATCCTATTGATAATGAATATAGTAACTCTGAAGATGTAGTAATTGATGGTGGGAATTCATTCTGTAATCATTACTTCCCGATATAATATTGTTAATAAAAAAAGTTAATGTTAATAAAAAATGGAAATTGTTTGAATTTTGTGAGAGTAATTTTGCCTTTTAAAGATAATAATAATACTTAAAAAGTAGAGATAATTTCAATTAGCAGATATATTTTTAAAATGAGAAAAGCCTAGATTTTCGTTATTATTAAATTTATGGTACATTAAGTAATGATGGAAATTATCTAATATTTTGGCTAAAATCAACGAATGAAATTTAAATATTAAAGCATATTAAGAATTTTGAGTGATATTTTAATTATTAAAAAAATAGTTTATGTTTATAATATTAAAATAATTTTAATAAATAAATTTTGAATTTTCCAATTATCATAGATTCTCAAATGATATCACGGATAATTTAATTTCTTTACATTAATAACCAAAATAAAACTATTAAGAATTTTTAATCCCAATTGGTTTAATGAGTAAAAAATTATAATATTAGTCAATTAATTGCACTATTATTAAGAATACTTCAAGTTTTGATAAAACTTAATTTTTTTTATTTCATAGAATAAGAATTTTTATATGATTCCAAATATTAATCATTCATAATTTAAGTTGATGAATTATTAATTTGAATATTGTTATTGCATAAATATATTCTATAAGTTTCAATCAAATATCTTGATTTTGATTAAATAAATATAATAAAAGTAGAAATTAAATAAAATAATTTAAGATGAAATTGTTATTAGAGTATCTCAGCAAATTCAAATTATTTAGTAGAAGATTCTATTTTTATAGAATCTAATAAATTAAGATGGTAGATCAAACTATTTAATGAGCCCTAGAACGAATTATAAATTAGGAGATTATCATGAGAATATGAGTCAGATTATAAAATTGTATTGTAGAATACTTAGATTAAACCGAAAATCTAATATATTTTTCTTATTCTTTCTTGATAAAAAAAGGAATCAGAAATATAAATTAATGCTTTATTGAAATAAATTTAATAAAGTTCTTTATCTCTCAAAATTAATGGAATATCTTTTTATTGAAACAAAAGGAAGCTACTATAAAAAAATGGTAAAAAACATTGATAGAAAGGACCTGAAATTGCCATAAATAGAAAATAATTTTGACATTGAAAAAATTGTATTTACAAATAAGAAGAATCACATAAAGTAAGAAAAATGTTAAATGATGATTGAAGCTTTGATGAAAACTAGAGATTGTAATAAGTGTATTTATAAGATAGAATATTCTCTTATTAATTTAAATAGGCTATAACCCATATAATTAATTAATTGACTCTTGTTTTAATAACACCATTAGAATTTAATTATTACACTTTAACATAATTTTACCACCATTTAGCTCATAATTTCAATCCAGGTACATATAAATTATGGATATTGACACATAGAGCATTTTATTTTAATTAAGCCTTATCTTTGCCAAAATTTCATACTATTATTTCATATCAATTAACAGCTTTAATAAATTTATTAAATATAATAGAATTTAAAGACTTTAATCAATCATAAATCAGAATAATCTTGAAAAAAACATAAGTATTAAAATGATTAAAACTATTTTTGACAATTCCTTATACTCTTTAGATTGCTGAACAAGAATTGATAATTTATATTATTACTATTCAACTTTCAAATTCAATTTTTCACAATTTTTCTTCCCTAATATCCATTTTCACCCATGTACCAACTTTATTTCCATTTTGATATTCACCTTTATAAGTGAATTATTAGTTAATCTCAAACTCATCATCCAACTCAATCCACTACCCAGCCTTAATAGAGCCGTCATACAGACCACCACCACTCAAGTCTTTTCAATTATTTATACATTAATTGATAAGTTTTTCTTTCTTCTTCCTTAAAAAAATAACCCATGTACGTACTTTTTACAATGTTTATATTCACTATCTTAAAAGTCTTATGAATATAAATTAAACTTATAACTGTATTCTATCCATCTTCCAACCTTAATTGAACCTCCAATAACTTCATCATATGAAATATTTTGTTTTTACTTATTAATAATTCAAATATTTACACTTATTGTTCCAAAGCTTAATTATACCATCTAACAACTATTTTTCCATTTTTATATCGACCGTGATAAGTGACTCTGGAATAAAAATGATATCCATTATTAAATTCAATCCACATTCCAATTTTAACACATGATGGCTTTTACTTTTCTGAATGTTATTCGTTTTTATATTAAGGATGATCTCTTACATTCTCAAAACTTTTCCAAGCAACGAATAATAAATAAAGTTATCTTAAATAAAATAATTATATATCATAAAAATTAATAAAAGAAAAATATAGACAAGTATAATTAATTTATAAGTGACAGAAAAAAATAGATTTGTAAAATCTTTTTGTAAATTTAGAATACTGAAATTATTATGATTTTACTATTCTAAAAATTGCCATATGTTAAGGATGAATTTATACTCTGCTAATTCAATTTCTATCACAAGAAAACTACATAGGCAAAATGATTAATATTCTTCTTCATAATATCATATCTTCTAGATAGAGTCATCAATATATTTATTATTTATAGTTATTCTTTTTATATTTAGTTTTTTTATGATTATGAAATATCTTTTTACTTTAGAAATTCACATTATTACTTCTGATACTAAAGCGAGTAATTATTCTAAAATTATAGATTATTTTAATAAATCTTGTTCTTATCTAAACCAGGATTTATTTATTTTGAAATACTTTCAAAGTTTCTTCTAATAAGTCTTTAAGAATATTTTGCATATATTTGATTTAGTTAACAAATTTTTTTAGTCTTTAAAATTTATATCTGTTATGATTAAAGTTTTATCTTAATCCTAATAAAGTCCAAAATTCTTTGCGAAGAACTTAAATTCAAATCGTTTTTGGTCCTTTTTTAAATCAATAAGAAGACAAAAATTTAATTTGAAAGTCATAGTAATTGAGTATATAGAGAAAAAAAATGAAAATGATGATGAATTAATTTGGAGGAAATGTAGATTACTAAATATAACATATAGTAGGATTCTTGTGGTAAAAATTAGATCAGGAAATAAATCTATGCAAATGACTAAAAGCAAAATGATTAAGGGTTTTTTTTTATCTTCCAAATTAAAAAAAAGCAGATCTGTGTGAAGAAATTGAAGGCAATATGAAGATGCTAACTACAAAAGTAAACGAAGAAGAATTAAAGTTGCTAATGAAATCAAAAATAAATTAAAAAAAGATTCTGAAAATGTATGAGAAAAAAGGAAGAGAATTATAGGATAGATAAATCAGTTAAAGTCTGATAATAAAGATTTTGAGATGTATATTATTATTTTAAAAAAAAAATTAATTGTGATGGAAGAAATAAGGCTAAGCTGTAAGATCAGCTCCTTATACGAATCAATTTTTTTTTAACCCTTAAATTTTTAATGTTGTATGGAAAATCTTATTTTAAATGGAGTTGCTTTGCCTAAAAAATCAATTTCTCATCTATAGATCCTTTATAATATTTAATTGAAAGAATCTTTATAATCATAAAATTAGGTTGATGACTCGTAAAGTCAAGGTGCAATAGATAAATACTATAGTTAAATCATATAATCATTTAAGAAGGTTATAATTCTAAGAAATGAAAAACCTTTTAAAAAATAAAGTTTAGTAAATTGATGAATTTATCCAAAAATTGAAATAATAAATAAAGGATGAAGAGCTGATTCAAAATTAGTATAAAGAGAGAAGATACAACAGACAGTTGGAAAGATGAATTCACTTTTAAGTTAATTATCTGATCAACATTTATAAACTCTTTTTTTGAGTTATTTTATTATTATTATTCCAATCATTTTTGATATTACTATTTTTACCTTATATATTAAAGATAATAATAAAAGTTACACAATTAACATTTGATTGAATTACTCAAATTTTGAGAAGTTTTTCTAATCTAAGTCTATTTTTTATAAAAAGATTTTTTTTTTAATTCCTTTTCTTATTATTTATAATAACTCAAAGTTTCAGATAAGAAATTATTGATGAAACTAATTTTAAATTATTTAAAGAATGTGAACACCATAAAATAAAAATAAAATATTCTCTGCAATACATTAACCCATCTTTATCTTCAAATAAAAACAAATCACTTAATGATAATTATTCGATGTGCAAACATTACAATAAATTATTCTTACTTTATTAAAAGCACTTATTTAATCTATAATCAAATTTAATTAATTTCATATAGATATAAATCTATTAATTCCATAAAAGTTCAAAATAAATAAATATTTTAGTAGAAAACTAATTGTTCATTAATAAAATGAAATTTATGATAAAATATTTTTTTTTATCTATTGATAACAATAAATTTCTTTCAATCAAGGCAATATTCAAATAATTGAAAATTAATTCAATAACCTAGGAAGAAGTGTATAGTTAATTTGAATAATCATATTGATAACCATTATTTTATGAAGCTTGAATTGAAAAAGTGAGTAAAAACTTTGAGTAATTAAATTTCTAAATTCTAAAAATTCAGTCTAAAATTCTAAAACGATGAAGTTGAAAAAAAGATTACTAACGTGTAATAAAGATTGAAATTAATTAATTAAAAACCTGCACATTTAATTTTAATTAATAGTAGATCAAAAAATGTAAATTGAGTATACTTGGCCAAAAAAATAAATCAAATAGTAAAAATTCTTAATAAATGCTTACTAATAGAGAATTTAATGATAAAGCTTTTTAAAACCAAACAAGCTTTCAAATAATTCTTAGAGTTGACATTTTCATCACACACTTAAAATAAATGTACATGTACAATACTAATTAAGCAATTTCTATTGGCAAAATTAGAAAATCATTAAAAACAAATTCTCTATTCAATGATTTCTTACTACAGCTGACATCAAAATTTATATAAAATAGAATATATTTAAGAGGTTCCAAATAATTAAATATTTTCACCTACAAATAACTTAGATAAAACTCACCCACCTTATAGAAGTAATTGCTTATCTAGAAAATAAAAATAATTGAAAAAAGAATAAATCATGAATATATTTATTTAAAAAATTAAAATATAAATGTTTATGCTTTCATTATTGTTCTTATTAAGGATAGTATACTTAAATGCTGAAAACCAATTTGAAATTATATACACAGCTTTCAGTGAAGATAACTTCAATATAGAAGGTATATAAATTAATTATAATTTAGGATGGCATTTTGAAAAAAACCATAGCCCAACTTTGTTCAGTAAATGTGGTAATGAGACTTTGTTTGGAGGTTTTTTAACATTCTCTTAAAATACATTAATAACTTACAATTCAAGTCTTCCTCCTCACTATT